TCTGACGGATAAGAACGGTAAACCACTAAACCCTTGGAATGGAAAATTTATAGCCAGCCCCGCAATAAAATTATGAGCTGTGGATTAGAGATTGAAGAGAGCCAAAAAAAAAATTTCTAGAACAATTCAGATTGTGTTAATGGGCAAATACATGATAAGCTGATCTTAGGTCACTGATGTGTTCAATTTTCAATTTATGCTTGCGATTGGCAAAAATATTGTATTCTCGTGATTTTTTTTTCTTATCATAAAATAAAAAATTTATATAAATATTCCGATCTTGCAATAACTAGGACTAAAGAACAACAGCCGCTGCCTTATCCCACTACAACTAGCACTAAACATTTTTTTTAAAACATTTATGAATATAAAGTTTTGAGCTCGAAGTCTTATAAAAGATACAAGAATGTCATAATAAAAATGAACACAATAACAACATAATTAGAATGGAGGCTACCAAATACCAATGTATCAAGAAAAGGAATGGATAATGATGGCTGATGAAGGTTCCCCAGGTCGTACTAGCCCAAGAGCCCACCCATATCAATCCAACTCTCATATTTGCCACAATGTGATCTGAATAATTTTTATTTGATTAAAAGATATTGTTTTCTGTATAAACTGAATAAAAAAATTGCATATGAAAAATTATCCCATCACAATTAATTTTAGTAAACCCCAAATGACAAGGAAGGCTAGCCCATCAAAAAACAACATATTAAAAATAACATTAAAAAAAAATCGAACATGGCGGTCGGTCAACTTGCGTTTGAATTGGCAACGAAAACGCTGGCCAAAAGGGGGAAAAAAAGTGGTGGAAATTACGAATACTAAACTTTGGATAAAATCAATTTATATATAAGATTTGCTTTAATTATGATCTATAACATTTATTTATGACAATAGGCTATTGTAAGCCCCTATGAATAGATTAAGACGATATTAAGGTTTTAACATTAACAGTTGTGCATGGACCATTTTTAACAAAACCATTTTGTTATGCATAATTGATTGTGAATCTAATCCAAACAAGAAAAAATTCTGGAAAAAGAACCTTAAAATTAGTATTGTTTAATTTAGGTACCTAAAACTTCAAAATGATGGACAAAGAAGTAAATTCAAAGTAAAATTTTAAAATTAAAGAGAAATGACGAAAATGTCCCTTTGCTAATTCTTTTAAAAAATGTGTTGTTAATCACAAATTGAGACTTGTAATTTCACAATTACGAGTTTTTTCTAGATGAATTGTTATCATTTTTAATTGATTCATATGTTATCTCATATGTTACGTATCAGGAAAAAAACATGTTATTAATCCCAAATTAAGACTTGTAATTTCACAATCAGGACTTATTATTCCTAGTTAAATTATTGTCATTTTTAATTGATTCACATGTTACTTCATGTATCAAGGAAAAAAATGTGTGTTAATCACAAATCGAGACTTGTCATTTAATAATAAGGATTTGTTATTTCTATGTGAGTTGTTATCATTTTAGCGTGAAGTGTCTGAATTGAAAAATCTAGTCCTAAATATAAGATCTTTATACACATTACAAAAAGAGTCTTGTATTTAGGACATGAGGAGTACTAATTTTTCTCCAATTTTTCCAGAAAAATATCAACAAATGCGATTATACTTGTATTGAAATGTAATCGTTATTATGGAGAGAAGATTTTTTGTAATTGAACTAAACAGGCCTTAACTCGAATGTTTCCTAGGCCAGTTCATGTTTAACCTCTCAGGAAAAAAACATGTTATTAATCCCAAATTAAGACTTGTAATTTCACAATCAGGACTTATTATTCCTAGTTAAATTATTGTCATTTTTAATTGATTCACATGTTACTTCATGTATCAAGGAAAAAAATGTGTGTTAATCACAAATCGAGACTTGTCATTTAATAATAAGGATTTGTTATTTCTATGTGAGTTGTTATCATTTTAGCGTGAAGTGTCTGAATTGAAAAATCTAGTCCTAAATATAAGATCTTTATACACATTATAAAAAGAGTCTTGTATTTAGGACATGAGGAGTACTAATTTTTCTCCAATTTTTCCAGAAAAATATCAACAAATGCGATTATACTTGTATTGAAATGTAATCGTTATTATGGAGAGAAGATTTTTTGTAATTGAACTAAACAGGCCTTAACTCGAATGTTTCCTAGGCCAGTTCATGTTTAACCTCTCACGCTCCTCCATGCCCAACTTAATGAATGGTTGGGTTAGATTTCGGCTTGGCAGGAGACATAATGTAGAACTGTTAAAATCTACATAAAAAACATTTTCTATTAACAAAAAGTATAATTTTTCTTACTCCCAGATTTTTTAAAAAAATTAATTTAGAATAAAAAATAATATTTTCTAAAATTATGAATAGTCAATCGTCATATGCATTATTTTTACATAAAAATATCAAATTAGGGAATTACTTGAAAATTTGAACTAAAATGAAAAGATTAAATTATGTCAAGTGTTGCCCAGTCAATTATTTATCCACAACATGATAAGGGCAGTTTCACATATGTCAATATAAAATTCCTCTCATATACTTATTTTGTATTTCATAAATCATAATTAAAAAGTTAAATATAAGCCATTCTAAAAAAACCTAGATATATGATGTAAAACTTATGTTTTGTGAACATAACTGCATATATATAGTACTATACATCACCCATAAGCTAGTTGAAAACTCACACAAAAATAATGCTAAACAGAGATAAGAGAGGTGTAAATTGGATGTCTTTACAAATTTTTGAAAGCTTTTCTTAAACGAAACTCAATGAAATAATTAACACGCTTAAACAATGCAGTATTAAAAACTAGGAAAATAGGACACAAATGATTAACGTCGGTTTAGCCTAGCTATTTGGCCTTTTTTTTTTTTTTGCCTACCGTTTTTTTCCGGTCAACTTTTTGACTAATCTTTAGTTTCTAAGCAAATCCACTTGATAATTCTACTTTGCTCTTGCAAATTTTCAAAAGCCAGACACATGCAAGTTGCATTTATATAGTATTGATTTCCCTTCTCAATCTCTTAAGGAAGCAATATGTAATATCTGACTTTTTGAGTAAAGCCCAAATATGGGAATAAAGGCTAATTATGAGCCCAAAGAAGTAGAAGAAATACAAACAAGACACAATATGAATTTAGACAAGAGATGGAGAAAGGCATAATTTTGAAAACTTAAAGGAAGGATGATTTTGAAGATATGTGCGGAATTTCAAAAAATTATCAGAAATTTATAAAAAATAGAGAATAATGTCTTGAATCGTATTTATTGATAAGAAGAGGTAAAAAATGACAAAATTGTACTAAAAAGAAATTTTATTTAATTTATGACATTTTAGGTATTTAAAGGATAATTAATCCCATTTAATTACTAAATGTAATGGGTGGCCTGAAATTATTAGATAAAAATTTCAGCAGAAAAGAAACAAATACTCAATAATCGTCATATTTTTGCATTTTCCATGAAATGTACTGTGATTCACTATTTCTTATATAGGCTAGGCAAGAGTAAGTGGAAAAGGATCAGGAAAATAAAGAAGCACATGTTATATTTGGGGGTATTTGGATGGAATCCAAATCATAATTTTAAAAGTGATTTTACGGTATATAAAATAAATATGTTGAGGAGTTTACCTCGGACTGAAAAAGTGCCAAACACTCCTAAATAAGAATGATCTAGACAATAGGGCTAGATGTAATTATGTACTGTATTGGGCCTTTGTTTATTTGAATTTTGCTGGGCTTGTGTAATATTATTTCTAACACACCCCCTTGAGTCCAAATATGAAGAATGAACATTGAGACTTGTCCTCAACCTCTTAAAATGATCAGCAACTATAGACTTGGTCAGAGTATCCACAAGTTGGTCATAAGAGGAAACAACAGCAATTCTGAGACACTTTGCAGCAACTCTTTCATGAACAAAGTGGTAATCAAGAGCAATGTGTTTTGCTTGAGGATGAAACACTGGATTAGTTGCCAAATGAGTTGTCCCCAAGTTTATCACAATATAAAAATTGGTGCTTCTGAAAGATGGATGCCAATTTCTCCTACAATGGGAGAAGGCCAGAAAGGAAATTATTGCTAAGGTGCAAGGATTTCAATGTTGAAATGTTAAATATATTGGAAGGAATAGGTTCACTCAAAATCTATGATTTAGAGTTTAACAAGATTGCTTAATTATATCCTTAGGTATAAAACCTGAAAACAAGAAAAATGGATGCGTAGAAAGAAACCGAAACCAGTAATAGTGTTTGTAGATAATATATGTATGCATGCTATAACATGGAAAAATAAACCTATCTTGCTAATTCCAAAAGCTTAATATTTGTCAATGTTGAAATGCTAAATATATTAAAAGAAACAGATCCTAATGACATAGGGTCAAATCTAACACATTATGCTTATCGCATTTGTCTATGTTTTATGTTTAAAACCTAGTCATAGAAAAGTTTATGGAAATCATGACTTTAGTTTAGATAAGAATATATACGCATAAATTTATTTCTATTATTTCTTAGTCTTCGTAAAATATTTAGAATGAAAAATAGAGAAATCGTAAATTATAAAAATTAAAGTTTTTATGCTGTGATTATTAAATAATGATTTAATAGGAAGTTAATAAATTTGTGAAATAGAAAAGAAACAATTGAAAAAATTGACAATACAAAATTAAATAGGAAAAGGACGTATTCTTTAATTAAGGCATGAGGGAAAAAACAACAAAACTTAATGGGGGAGCAATAGAATATGTTAGTACGTGTGTATGATGTTGAGCTTTTTTAATGAACATGGTATAAATCATATAGTACAAAGTACTTTTTTTGGCGTCAAACTGAGCAATTCATTCCATCAAAAAGAGTCACAATAATACAAGCACACACAAAAAAGAGTAAAACAAAGATAAAAATAAAGCCATCAAGAACACAAAGAAACAAACTGACAGAAAACAACTTAAAACAAAGAACAAAAAGAGCAAAATCAGGTAACAAGATTCCCAACCATATGAGCATCATCAACTAGGATTTTTGGCAAAGGAGAAGGGGGTTGTAAAACCTGGTTTTTCAAGCACTTTTCTCTCAGAGCTACATGAGCAAACCAATCAGCGACCAAGTTACAATGTCTTGGAATCCACTGCAAAATTGAGCACTTCACTGTTTGTCAAGATTGCCAAAGTCCATTAGAGTTAGGCAAATCTCTAAAAACCAAAATGACACAATCAGAGCAATTCGCACGAATAGAAATAGTTAGACTTACATCTATGATGATTCTTTTCACCAAACACTCAATTAGCCCTTTATTCCAAGGACAAACCCATCTTAAGTCATCCTTAGCTTTGATACCAACAAGATTAACCGGATACAAACCATTGTAGCCTAGACAGTGCCATAAAATTAAGGCCACAAACTTTTGCATATGTAGATAGGAGAAAAGAGAACATCCATAACAAGAGTCATACTGCAAAATTCTCTGTATTTAAGCCCCCTAAATTGAATCCCTTTTAAATCAACCATGGAACCAAGAAAATGAAACAAGGTTGACCAAAACCAGCAATCCACATTCATAGCTAACCATTTCAGATCCTTGGAAATAAGAAAGTGAGAGGAATTGGAGATATCATACCACAAAGAGAGCACTAAATCTGAATGTCAATGTCTCGAGCTCTCCTATTCTTCCATCATCAACATAGCATATATAGCTTCATGAATCCTCATTGCTAAAATTGCCCTTCGCCACTTCCCTTGTTCCTCCCTCACTTCTAGCATAGATTGTGGATGCCCCACCTTCAAAGCTTTAATCTTCTTCTCAAGTCCGGGGGCACCCATCATAGATCTTCATCAACCTCAGAGAAAATTGCGTCCTGGTCATCATATTTTACTTGAATGTACTTACAAGAAAGAAATATATTACTCTAGAGTAATCTCTCTTAAAAGTTCTTTGAAACTTGGTGTTGTAGCTTGTTTAAGTGCTCATGTTGGTCTTCACTGATTATGGTTCTTTCTCCTTTGTTGTGCATACTTGCTCTCTACTTTTTGTGTTTTTTTTATCTCAGCTACTATGGTTTTGTGGTGTTTCTATGGAAGTCTGGTTTTCTTTATTTTTTTGGTCTATATTGGTTAGTTTTCTTTTTAGCATGATTTTTTCTTTAGCTAATGAGAAGCATAATGGGTACAAATGCTTGAGCTCTGCAGGTAGAATCTTTTTTTCACGTCATGTGTTGTTTAATGAGCTTGATTTCTCTTTTAAGCATGATTTTCTGAGTACCAAACATGTAAAAGAGCATACCATTATTTATGCTTCTTTTTTTGACTTGCCACCTATGCCTACAGTTGCAATAGCTAATTAGCATGTCACAACAACTTCTGTAGGTGCTAATGATAGCAGAAATACTTCTTCAGAGCATGTCCTGTCTCCTGCATGATCTATATCTTTCCTGCCATCAATAAGTAACAACTTTGAGCACTCTTCTAGTTTAGTTGCATCTTCACAAAACCATATCCAACCTATATTACAAAAATCTCAATAGAATTTGCATTCTATGATAACACAAAGTAAAGTTAGTATTACAAAGCCAGGCATCCTTTCATTGGATTGGTAAAACACTCCATTAAAGTATAGCGTAAGTTTGCAATTATTAAAGAAGCTGTATTGAATTCTCACTAGCAGAATGTATCACAGGATGAGTACAATATTTTGATAAGAAACAAAACCTAGACATTTGTCCCTTGCACTAGTAAAGAAAGCTTAGTTGGATGTAAGTAGGTGTTTGGAAACAAATTCAATCAAGATAGCAGTTTGAATAAAAGAGAGGCTCAGTTGGTGGTTAAGAGTTTTCAACCAAGCCCAGGTATTGACTATTGTGAGACTTTTATACCTATCATTAAAGCTTCCATTGTTCATTTGGTGCTTACAGTTGCAATGGCAAGAGGTTGGTGCATAAACCAACTTGACATAAAAAAATGCTTTTCTTAATGGTATTTTAGATGAAGTAGTTTATATGAAACAACCTAAGGGTTTTATAGACAAAACAAGACCAAATCATATATGTTGACTTGACAAATCCTTGCATAGGCTTAAATAAGCACCAAGAGATTTGTTTGATAAGCTTAAAAACGCATTGCTGTAATAGGATTTTAGAAATTTTAAGTATTATACTTCTTTTTGGTTTAAGCATTTTGGTTGCATCATAATGTTATTGGTCTATGTAAATGACATTATTGTCATAGGAAATAACCCTACAAAGTTGAAAGCTTTCACTTGAGAACCTCACAACATCTTTGCTTTGAAAGACATAGGTTCCTTGCATTATTTCTTGGGCATTAAAACTACATGAAATGCTCATGATCTATATCTTTCTCAATCCAAGAACATTATTGATTTACATAAAAAATTTGGCATGCTTCACTTTGCCCTACGTCCAACACCAATGGTTTCAACCAAATCATTATCTATTTCTGATGGGGAATTGTTAGTAGATCTAAAACAATATAAAAGTACAAAGGGAGCATTGCAATAGGTCACGCATACCTACCCGGACATAGCTTTTACTGTGAATCGATTAAGTCAATTTCTTAGGAAGAGTATTGGCAAGCTTTCAAACAAGTCATGAGATGTCTCAAATAAATTGCTACTTTTAGGTTGTCTATGCACCACAACAAAGATGTTACTTTGACATGCTACGCTGTTGTAGAATGCGCTTGCTATTTGGATGGTAGAAAATCTGTATGAGAGTATTGAGTTGACAACAAAGATGGCTTAGGTTCAATCTTTGTCAAAAAAACTTGTGTAACATCCCAGATTTTGGACATGAAAGTATCAGAATTAACTTGAAATGAGTAGGTTGCCAGACCCCTCTTGGCAGAAGTTTCAAAAGTCTGTTAGAAAGACGAAAGGATTTTCAGGGACTAAATCACAAAGTAAAAGTTTTCTAGAACAATAAGACAGACAAGTTAGAGACTCTGATATTTGGATGGGTTGAGTATGAGAATTGGAGATGATTAAAGACCAAAGATTATGAGATGATTCTTGAGGCTAAACCCGAGTAAAGATCTAATTGTGAATTCAAAAACTTTCATGTTGAAAAGCACAATAATGGGAAGTATGCACAAAAATTCTAAAAAAAATTCCAAAAAATTCTTTAAAAAAAAAAAAGAGGTTTTGAGACCTATATAGAGTTTAAAATGATGAAAATACTCTTGGAACAAATTGACGAAATTCCAAGGGTTTTGACTAATTATAAATATTTGCCGAAATTGAATTATCTAGAATATGAGGAGGCCTCAAGTAATTGAAAAAAAAAAGGGAAATAATGCTTGATGAATTAGTACAAGTTTTAAAAATAATTTTGTCCCAAAAAAGCAAAGAGGTTGGCTTTAACAAAATTTAAAACCTATTTATATACTATCTGAAAAAGTCAAAATAAACTATCTATGGGTTGACTTTTGACTTGAGAAAAATTAGAAAAATTTCCCATGATGAGAAAGTAGTATTAATACCCAAAAACAGATTCTAAGAGTTATGGATCGATAGAGAGAATTCGATCAAGTTTGCTTTGAAATAAATATTATTAAATATTTTAATAAAAGAACAAAAGGAACAGAGTTGTCCCTCTTTAGACATGTTATATAATGTCATGTGAAGTTAACTATGATTAAAAAAAAGGTGCTAGAATATGTCCTAAGATTATCGAGTAAGTAGGACTCAAAAAAGTATTCGATATAATGTAAAATAAAAAAATCAGTGGAGGAATAGTCAAGAGTATGAGGGAGCACGAATTCTCCCTATTTTTCTCCCTATTTGAATGTAAATTTGATTAGGGAACATGAATGTAATAATATATTTTGCTAAGGGTTAAGCTTGGAAAAATGAAATTGTATAATAAAATATCATATTTTCTTTACATATGTGATAGGTGGCATGTGATGTGTCTCATAAAGTGGCATTCTATTAAATGGAAGGGACACCTAAGAGGATTAGGTGGGAAGAATAAAAAAGTTAAGGGACATATAACGAAAGAGATTAAATTGATGGTCAAAATTAATTCACACACACAAGATCAAGAGCTAATTTAAGCAAAGCTTTTTTTAAATACTACTCCCTCCTATTCTATACAAGATTTTTGGCCAACAAAGGGCAAGAGAGGGGGAGAAGCTGAAAATATGAAGGGAGAAAGGAGAAGAAGAAGATCAAAAGAAACCATGCAAGATCAAGCTCCAAGACAAGGTATGTTTATGGTTTTTTATGTAATTTCCATTACCTTTGTTGTTGTTGAGTTTGGTCATGAGTTTTCTTGGATTTTGGAAACTTGAAACCCTAAGAGGACATGCTACATGAAAGTTAAGGAGAAGATGAAATTTAAGCAAAGATTTTTTTAAATACTACTCCCTCCTATTCTATACAAGATTTTTGGCCAACAAAGGGCAAGAGAGGGGGAGAAGCTGAAAATATGAAGGGAGAAAGGAGAAGAAGAAGATCAAAAGAAACCATGCAAGATCAAGCTCCAAGACAAGGTATGTTTATGGTTTTTTATGTAATTTCCATTACCTTTGTTGTTGTTGAGTTTGGTCATGAGTTTTCTTGGATTTTGGAAACTTGAAACCCTAAGAGGACATGCTACATGAAAGTTAAGGAGAAGATGAAATTGTTGTTAGAATAATATTTAAAGGTTTGAAAGGAACAAAAATCAAGTGATTTTGTAATGAGTTTACAAGAAAGCTAACTTTCCTTAACCTTTCGTAGAATTTTTTGGCTAGACTTAGGATTAATGTTAGGGTTAGATTTTGATGATTTTGATGCTTACAATGTATTGAGAATGAAAAATTGTGTGGGGTAAAGCTAAAAAAGCAAGTTTGGAAGCATTAGAATTAAAAATAGAATTTTAAACCCTAAAACCTTATGTGTTCAACAAAAGCTTGTTCTAGGGGTAGGAGTTATATTTTGATAATTTTGAGCTTAAAAATAAATTCTACATGCAAAATTATAGGGAATAGCATGTGGAATTAATTTTAAAAATATCAGAAATCAAGCTCAAAAGTTACAAGATAATATGGTTCAAAGATAACAAAGTTTAAATGTTGTTAGTTACCATGGCTCTAATGAATAAATGACAATAATGTGTTAATACATTTAGGACCATGAGACATCAAGAAGTAAGTAACCTCAAGGTTGGGAGCAAAAGGGAGCCAAAGAAGACAAGAGGAAACTTAGAGACATAAGGTAGTAAACTTATCCGTATTGTGTGCTTGATATGCTTACTTGTATTTTGATATTGCTTGATGATGACTTAGACTATGAAATATTAAATGTTGCTCTATTTCTTATATATTCCATGGCCACGTGTGAATGAAACATTTAGTATTAAAGCATGTCATTTTAT